TTCTCTGTTAATCTCTGGCAAGCACACATGCCTTCTGGCAAACAAACAAAAAACAAACAAACAAAAATGCAGGGGGCCAGTCAGTGGTGTAGTGGTTAAGGCAACTGGATCCCATATGACCAATAATAGCATGGTTTGAGTCCTGGACCCAACAGCTTGAATAACACCAGGCACAGGTATGTGTATGCTCGAAACCCTGAGAGGAAACTGGAGGAGAAGGGGTTGTGGTGTGAGTAATTTCCTTTATAGGGGGTTTTCTTATTTTCTCTCTCTCTGTCTCTCTCCTACAGGTAGATGAATCCTATAACAAATTACAAAAAAAAAAACCCAAACAAAACCAAACACTTGCAACAAAAATAAACAGTATACCAAGTATCACATGACCCTGGATAATAGTTACGTAAAAATGAGTAAGACAGTTTCCCTTAGAAGCTTATCATCTGGTGGAAGGCACAGCTTAGTGTGGAGACAGTCTTTTAATTGCAAATTCAAAGATTCCTTAAGGGTTTAACAAAAATGATTATTTCCTGTTCCACCACACAAACTCTCCATTACAGATAAGCTTTGTGATTAACCAATGTGATGAATCAATTAATCAATGCCTTTTTGGGCTAGCCCCATTGCCTAGTGGTTAAGAGAGCAGAATCCCACATGACTAACAGTGCTTTCAATCCTGGCCCTGGCGGCTTGAACACCGTACACTGGGGGCATGTGTGCGTACATGTTGCAAATTCTGTAGGATGGACAAGTGGAGAAAGAGAGACTACATGCTTTCTTCCTCTCTCTGTCTCTTTGGGGAGTGCACACACTTCCTGGCAACTAAAAAAAAAGTAAAAAAAAAAAAAAATCAGTGTCATCTGTCTTTCCTTGGATTACCTTGAGAGAACCTTCTAAAATGAAAGAAATCTTTTCCTTCTCCTTTTCCTTTTCTTTTTCTTTTTCTGGTTCTGGTATATCTGTTTTGCTGATTACTTTGTTGCCTAGGAACAGAGAAAATTAAACTTCTTAATAACCACCTTAAATAAAATTTCATAGAAGGACCAAATCTCTGGGTCAGAGGAGATCTTAAAGGGTGATGAGTTCAACCGCCTGTTTATTCACCTCTAAATTCTTTCTTGCCATCTTCTGGGTGGACAACTGAAGTGGGACCAAGCCACGTCTGTGGGAAATTCAGTCTTTGAAGATAGCACATTCCATTCTTAGTGCCGACATGTTACAACTCTTTACTGAATTGGAACCTCTTATCCTAGAAATTTCACCTAATCAATCTTATCTTAACACGTTAAGGCCACACAGATAGAATACAACCTTTCCTTCCACATTGAAGACCTTCTCTTGTCATTGTAGTCATTCTGTCTTGCAGATTTATGTCTCTCCTGGCTCAAGAGGTTCATACTGAATGTGATACCTATCACGTGCATTCTAATCCCCAAATCACCATTTTCTGGATTTCCACAGGCATCTAGATATTAATCTTTTGGTCTGTTCAGTAGCATTAAGAAGAAAAGGTAGTTAACTTTTTACTGCTAGAAAGCAAGTGCAGCCCTAGACATGAGTATGAGAGGGCACCTTCTCTCTCTTTTCACACATAGTCCACACACTTTCCTAGGTACTCCATGCTCTCTTGCTTGGCCCCCATCAGGAGAAAGTCTGAGCTGATGGATTAGATGATGATTTTGTTTGTTTGTTTTGTTTTGTTTTAGAATCAAGTCATGTATAAACTCTTCTGGTGATTGATAGATACTGCAAACTTTTTGGAAATTACCTAGATTTGTTTCCTTATGAGAAATCATTCTCGATATTGGCTCTAATGAATAATGACTATTATTAACAGAGAGATTAGTTTCTTTGTACAAACCTAACAAACTATCTTTATATTCCAAATGATTTACCTCATTGTTTCACTTTGTATCTTTATCAAGTATTTTTCTACACTCTATTTTCTTTGTTGCTCTCTTCTCCCTTCCTTTCATACCCTCACAGTCATGGAAATGAACCACCAAAACAAAGATGTGGGTTAATCCTAGAGCCTGTGAAGTGCTTGCCCCAGGCCTAGAAGGGTCTCTGTTTCCTCTGCCTCTAGATTCCGACTCCCAGTTGGTTTTGGGACTCTTGTTTGCTGTTTTAACAAAGGTCTTATTTTATTTTATTGTGTATTTATTTATTTATTTCATTTTATTTTTTACATTTTTCTGTCAAATGTTTCCTCCTTTTAATAAGGGAGGTCTCATTTTAATATCACTTTTGGAACTCAGAATTATTTTAATGAAAACCTACTAATTCTGAATTTACCTTATGTACTGTCAACAAATTTTATAATGTAGCAAATCTCCTAATGAAAAAACTTGCAATTTCCCAACACATAACATTTTATCTGTACAACAAACTGAATTTTTCAGGTCTAATGTGAAGTGGGGTCAATATAAGACAAATATTCTATTATCCCACTAAGGTAAAACCTCATATTTGCAATGCGGCTATTATATTTATTAGAGAAAATGAAGAGTCACTAGAATTTTTGAGAGTAACTCTTTTAAATCTTGAAATATTCAATCTTAGTTAAGATATAGGAGAATGTCTTTTTACTTCATTCTTGGTATAAATTAAACTAGTCACTTACTTTTAGATTTTTTCAGGGAAAAAATTTTGCTAGTAGAAGATGTTTTGGTTCCAGTAGAATATTTCAGTTCTAGCTCAGCCTTGGTTTTAGTGATTTCCTCAGTCATTTTAGTTTCCTGATATTTAGCTTCTTCTTTTGTGATCCACTCTTCAATGGATTTTGCAACAAGTTCTAAATAACTTCTAAATAAAGCAAAGAGGAGTAGATGATGATCAAGTTACTACTGAAGTCAATAAATGCTTAAGATATTGACTGTGCAAATTAACATTTTGAAAATGATCCTAAACTTCCCATGTAACAAATATTAATGTAGTGAACTGGGATATACCCTAGCTATATTTTGTGCAAAATAATCAAATACAAATATCCAACTAACATACAACAAATGCTCAACTTCATTCACAGTTAAAGACATACACATTTTAAATTGAGATATATACATTTAATATATTTTTTAAATTTTTTATTATCATCATAATCTTCTTTATAGTACATTGGATTACATATCACTTTACAGTGTATTACATTGCTTTTTCAAAAGGGAATGCCATGCAAGTCAGTCAGTACAAAGACATTAATCTCCCCGCTTCAACATTCAATATCTTTTCTATGTTTTCCCCAATCATTATTATTATTATTATAATTATTTTTTAAAACAGTCAATCGCTATTTCTCATTTTGCTTGTAAAAATACTTTGCCTATCATGAAATACTTCTCAGACCAATCCAGTTGAGAATACTATACATGTCATCATCAACAGTTAATAAGCCATATCTGTTTCTCACTAACGTCCTGCCTCTCTATTGTTCACTTGCTATCTTTCTCTATCCTCTTCTCTTCACTACCCCCATTCCACACTATCCTGTTCTCATTAAGTACCTTCACTGCTTTTATGTCCTCCAATTTTTTGCTCTCTATCATAGTATACATTTAATATTGAGGTCTTTCCACCCAAAAGAAGGATAGAAAAGTTTGATATAGGGCCAGCAGGTGTCATGAAGGTTAAGGCAGTTGGATCCAACTTCAAAGTTTGAGTCCTGGACCCAGTAGCTTGAAAATCATGCTAGGTGCATGTATGTGCATGCCCCGAATCCTTAGATAATGGAGAAAGGATTATGACATGGTCATATCCCCTGAAGGGTGAATTCTCACCTTCCATCTCTGTCTATCTCTCACTGTCTCTGTCTCTCTATGGTGAGTGCACACTCTGCAGCCAAAACTGAAAAAAAGTTTGATAATATTAGAATTGGATGAAAGTTCAGAGAAACAGTCACTGTTAGCACTGTTAAAGAATATTCTGGTGCCATCTCCTTTTAGAGCAGTTTTATAGAACACTTTGAATTGACCACCAGTTAATTGATGCACTAGATTAACTAAAACACTCTAATCTTTCTATAAAACTTACTGGCCTTGTGAATATCTATATCTTAACTACTATTTCTTAAGAGCATTTATGATTACAACAGTAAGCTGTTGCTTACCAAGAATCACTCATATTTGTTCCCAAATTAATTCATGCTGATTAGTGCAATTATTTTAAAAGTAAATGTTATGTACACATATGAATGCCAATGATAGTTGTTTCTGAAGAAACTGAAAGATTTAGGTGTATGTAACAAAAAGACTAGTTATTATCAAATTATGTGCAAATAAGGTCTAAAATGTTGAAAAAATAAAACTAGATGTATTATATGCTTAGTCTGCTTCATTATTTTATTTAATTCTTTACCTTTTTGTTTATTTGTTTGTTTTTAAGAGAGATATTTGTCATAGGGCACGTTTGCTTGCCAGAAGGACAGAGAAAAAGAGAGACAAAAAGTGAGAAATCACCCCCTAGGGGGAATGGGCACACTGCAATCCCTTCTCCTCCATTCTCCTCTGGGGATCTTAGGCATGCTCACACATGTGCCTGACATGAGTTTAAGCCCACCGGGTCTAGGACTCGAACCGTGGTCGACTATGTGGGAGTCCAGCAACTTAACCATTATGCCGTTTGCTCGTCTCAATTCTTGACTCTTTTAAAAGAAGTAAACTGAGAATTGTAGACTATGTGCTATAGGTACTCAACATCTTAATTTAGAAGATAATTATTTCTCAAACTCAACATGTCCCTAGATGAACTACCGATTTTCTGTTTCAAACTACTACAACAAAACTCTTTGCCATTTTAGAGGATGACAAGTCTACACTTCCAGCTGACAGGCTAAACACCCTGATGTTATCCTTAACTACTCTTTATTTTCTTATATTACTCTGCCGGTTTCTCAAAAAATTAAAATAATATTTTTTTCTTTTCTTTTTTTTTTCTTTTTTTTTTTTTAAGAAAGGTTTTTGCTATAGGGCAAGTGTGCTCACTGGAGAGACAGAGATAGACAGAGCAATGCAGAGAGACAGAAACTGAGAAATCACCCCCACCAGAGGAAATGCCCATGCTGCATCCACTTCTCCATACTCCTCTCAGGATCTTGGGCATGCATAGTGTGAGTTTTAAGCCACTGGGTCCAGGACTTGAACTGGGGTCAACTACACAGTCCAGCAATGCAACCATTATGCCATTTGCTGGTCCCCCAAATAATTTTTTTAAAAAGCATTTAAAATAATTTTTAAAAGCATATATGTATAGTATGTTTAAAATCATATCACTTGTCACCTCCTTGCCTGCTGTTGTCCTGGTCTAAGCCACTACTGCCTCTTGATGGGACTGCCACAGTATCCTCCAACTGGTTTCCCTGTTGCTATCCCTGGCCCTTTGGAGTTTATTCTCCACATAAACAGAAAACCTGAAACATCTAATAGCCATGTCAAAAGCTGAATCAGAAATTAAATATCTCATCAGATTCAGATGTTTTTTATCTGCACGTTCTACCTAATACCACATGAGTATACATCTTATTTTTCCATAAACTCTTTGAGAACATTTAAAAAAAAGAAATAAAAATGGAAAACATTCCTCAGTTAATTTATTAGGCTAACACCATCTCAATAGCATAACTAGACAAGAACATTTAAATCAGAGAAAATTATAGCTAACTCTTGTCCATGAATACATACAAATATTCTAAACAATATATTTGCAAAGCAAATTTGTTAATTTGTACAGTTAACATAATGGACAAATTCGTTTTACCACAATAAGTCTGGTTCAACTGTAGGCTATCAGTGAAATTTAGCAATTCACAGATTAAAGGAAAAAAAATGTAAACATCCAAATTGATGCAAAAAAACCCAAATAATTTGACATGACTTAACAACCATGTATGATTAAGAACTTGTAGCAAACTAGTAACAGTTTTATTACCTAATTTAAAATACTTACACAAATCCTAGGGTAAAAAAATATACTTAATTCAAAACATTTACTTTGAAATCTGGAAGAAAACAAAGATGCCCTTTCAAATTATACTAGAGATACTAGTCAGCAAACAAGAACAGAGAAAAACAGAACAAAACAAGTGTAATTATTGACAGTGAAAAACAAAACTAAGAAAAACATAGATTAATAGCTCAAGACATTATACTGGCTTACTATTGGTTTGTGGGAAAATTCATGATACATTTTTGCATAGGAAAAAAACAAATCATGATTTTTCTAACAACCTGACGTAAGTCTTAATTTTAAAAGATCATTTTATGACTTTAAGATGTGTGTGAGGAGACCAGCAGTTAGCGTAATGGCTATGTCGCTGGACTCCCATGTAGTCGACTGTGGTTTGAGTCCCAGACCCGGTGGCTTAAACTCATGCTGGGCGCGTGTGCATGCGTGCCCAAGATCCCGAGAGGAGAATGGAGGAGAAGGGATTGCGGCATGGCCATCTCCCCTAGGGGGTGATTTCTTGCTTTCTATCTCTCTGTCTCTCTCTGTTTGTCTGGCGAGTGCACACACCCTATAGCAAAAACCTCTCCAAAAAAAAAAAAAGAAAGGAAAAAAAAAAGAAAAAAATATGTGTGTGAGTATGTGGGTACACAACCTGTTCCATCAATTACTAGACAAATCCATTCTTTCTCTATTCCTTTGGACTAAAACAATGCTATAAAAATAATACATCCTGACTATACATAACTAGTATTGAAATAATAATGGAATACCCTTGTTATTAATGAGGAGTGTGAACAAAGTTCTAAGAGAGAAAAGAAATGACAAAGAATTGGAAAGAAAAAATGAATTCCTATATCGCAGTTCTCCATTTGCTGGAAAGCTAACTGCTATGTTAGTTTGTCATTTACTGCCTTATTAAATCTTCCCAGATCAAAGGAAGTTACCCAAAACTAGCATGCAGAATGTCATGTTTCATAGTTCCTATTTGATATCTTTCAGAGGTGGTCTTACTGGAGTCTAAATAAGTCAACTGTAATTTTCTTTTTTTTGGAGAGGTTTTTGCTATACGGTGTGTACACGCCAGATGGACAGAGAGAGACAGAGAGACAGAAAGTGAGAAATAACCCCCCCCAGGGGGGATGGCCATGCCGCAATCCCCTCTCCTCCATTCTCCTCTTGGGATCTTGAGCACGCATGCACATGTGCCTGGCATGAGTTTAAGCCACTGGGTCTGGGACTCGAACCGCAGTCGACTACATGAGAGTCCAGCGACATAGCCATTACGCTAACTGCTGGCCCTGCTCAACTGTAATTTAACATCCCTACTAGAACCATGAGAGCAAGAATGATGTTTGTCTTCTTAACAGTATAAATTTAACATGGTACCTGGTACACAGCAGATACCCATTCAGTGAGTGGAATTGAATCTATTGTACTACACAAAGGTCTGCATGGAGTTGAACTATCTATGTTAGACTAAGGGACAAGAACCTAAGTAACTAACAAGCTGACTAAACTAAATTATCTAAGTTGGTTACCTGAATCCAACATTGGAGTGAAGAGCAATATTCCAATATTCACAATGCTGACGTTGTATATTCATTGGATTATGAAAGACTAAAAGTAGAGAGTTGTCTTGGGTATGGTAATAAGAATCAACACATCTATATTGCTGATGGGCTTCCTGAAGAACCTGAAAATCAAAATAATTGCATTGTTGTGTGTTTCTTTTTTTTCCCTCCAAGATAAGGGACCTTTGCCAGGGCAGTTGTTAACCCCCTTTTTCTTTCTCCCTTAATCTCCATATTGTTACAATCGAGATTCCCTGAAGATTCTTTCTTAACTATTGAAGGGTGAGAACATAAGTAGTGGATACTCTTCAGGGCATTTCAGCAACTATTATAGAAAAACAAATACTGGACTCCAAATATAGAGGCATTTACTACTATTGTTCTTCATTAAGGCTGATAAGTAATAAGCCAAGCAGTTATTTACTGAGCATTTTCCATTCCTTAAAATATATCACAGATGGGATCAGCAGATGGCCTAATGGTTACATTGTTGGACTCCCACTTAGTTGACTGTCCTTCGAGTCCTAGACCTAGTGGCTTAAAACTCACCAGGCGTGTGTGTGTGCATCCCCAAAATCCTGAGAGGAGAATAAAAGAGAAGAGATTGTGGCATGGTCATCTCCCCAGGGGGGGATTTCTTGCTTTCTGTCTGTCTTGCTCTGTCTTTCTGGCAAGTGCACAGACCCTATAGCAAAAAAATCTCTCTCTCATATATATAAAATATATGTATATACATTAGAGATATGTGTGTGTGTGTGTGTATATATATATATATATATAATGGATCATGTCATTTCATAATTATTAAGGGGCAGCCAGTGGCACTGTGGTTAAAGCAGCTGGATCCCACATGGCTGACAGTGTGTTCATGTCCTGAACCTGGTAGCTTTAGAACATACTGAGTGCCTATCCATGCATGCCCAAAATCCTGAAGGAGTCAAAAATGGAGAAGGGATTGCAGTATGACCATTCCCCATGAGAGGGGGGTCATACTTTTTACCTTGTTCCTCTCTCCTCGTCTCTCTCTGTCTCTCTTCAGGAAGTGCAGACACCCCCACCAAATAAAACAAAGAAACAAATAAAAGACAAACGGGTGCTGTGCACTAAATTGTGCCTTCCTCCCAATTCATATGTTGAAACTCTACCCTCGAAGTGATGTTATTGGAAGATGGGGTTTTTGTGAGGTGATTAGGTTTAGATGTGGTCATGAGGATGGGACCCTCATGATTTTAGTGTCCTTATAGGAAAAGGTACTACAGAGGTTATTCCCTCTTCTTCCCTCTCTTCCCTCCTCCCTTCTCTTGCATCTCTTTTTTCTCTCTCCTTTCTTTCTCTCATTCCTCTCTTTCTATCTGCCATGCGATAGAGAGTGCTATCTATAAACCAAGAAGAGAGCACTTACTAGGACCCAATGTGCTGGCATCGAGATCTCAGACTTCCAGCCTCCAGAACCATGAGACAATAAATATCTATTGTTGGGAACCAGCAGTTAGTGTAATGGCTATGTCCCTGGACTCCCACGTAGTCAACCGCGGTTCGCGTCCCTGACCCGGTGGCTTAAACTCACGCCAGGTGCGTGTGCATGCGTGTCCAAGATCCTGAGAGGAGAATGGAGGAGAAGGGATTGCGGCGTGGCTATTTCCCCTGGGAGGTGATTTCTCGCTTTCTGTCTCTGTCTCTGTCTGTCTGGTGAGTGCATGTGCCCTATAGCGAAAACCTCTCAAAAAAAAAAATCTATTGTTTAAGCAACTCTGTCTGTAGTATTTTATGATGGCAGTCCAAATGGACTAAAACATTAACTATTTTCCCCATCCTGAAATATTAGAACTTTCATTTCTCAGCATGCATTGGAGCTAAGGGAGTATCAAATCAAGGAACGTGTCCAATAATACAGAGTTCACAAGTTCTGGTGCTAAGATTAAAATCAGTCTTTCAATTCTACATTTTACTATATCATAGGTCATAGACTGCGCTCCATAACACCATACTGTATTACAGTTAAGCGAGGTCGTTCTGACACATACTGCTTCTACTTGCTTTCCAACTCTGGCCTTCCTTAAAACACATACTCTCTGGTAGAAACCTTAAAAAAAATGTAAAAAGTGGTGACTCTAGACACCACTGAGGGAGAAAAACATTCCTGATAAGAAGGGAATTGTGTAAACGTTTAAATTGGTGCTGTTTAATAGAAGTATAAAGTAAACCATAAATATGAGCCACATATGTAATTATAAACTTTAAAATAGCCACATTTTAGAAAGTAAAAAGAAACAGATAAAAAGCAATGTTAGCAATATTTTGGGTCGTCGGAAAAGTCACGACACATTTTTGCATAGAAAAACACAGAAAAATACATCATGAGTTTTCCAACTACCCAATATTTCACTTAACTCAAGATAGTAAAGACATTTTAACATGTAATTGATATCAAAGTTATCATTTTTTAAACACTAACTCTTTGAAATCCAGTGTGCATAGCGCTTACATACATATGTATGCAGCTATACAGAGGGTATAGCGTATTTACAGTGTATCTCAATTTGGATTACCTATGCTTCAAATACTTGGAGGCTACAGTACCTAGTGGCTATCTCTTTTGATAATGCAGGTCTAGACTCCAAATGTAGGAAACCTAACCTCCTTCCTCAACTACTTCACTCTAAAAACTCAGATAGGCAGGTTTTTGTCTTTCAGATGGAAGGTTATATCATCTTTATCCCCCTGGAAAACCTAAATAGCCTAAGAAAACAGAGCTAGTATACCAACACTGCTGGGCTTTCCAAAGAAGCCTCCTAGCAAAATCATAATGAAACCCAGTTTTGACAACCCCTCACATCTAAAATAGTACTTCCTATCTTACTTTAATAAATTGGTAGTTCATCATTAGTATGAGCAAAATATATTGCTCATCAAAATGTATTTGATATTACCTTCTAGCATAAAATATGGAGACTAAACAACTGAAGTCAAATGATAATGATAATAATCCTTAAAAATAAAGAAAAAGAAAAGGAACTTGGAGGAAAAAGATAATTCAGGTAGAAAACTATTTCCAAGTACTTAATATACTCATAAAGAAAAGATGTTGAATTAGGAATGTGAAAAGAATTCTGTGAAAAGGTTTCTATAAAAAATGATTTGGAATTTTAAATAGAACTCAGGGAGCTAGAATTATGATAACAAATGGAAGTCTCAATATAAAAATTGGATGGAAACTGAGCAATATATGTATTTTTTAATTTGTAGCAGGCATATTTATTTACTAGAGAGAGAGAGAGAAAGTGAGAAGTCACTCCTATGTAATAATCATGCTGCAATCTTTTCTCCATTTCTCCCTCATTTCAGGATTTTAGGGATGTATGCACATGCACTCAGCATGTCTTTCAAGTTACTTGGTCCACAATTCAAACTGTGCAGTTTGCCACAAGAACCCTAACCTTCTTAACCACCATCCACCACCTGAGCCTGAACAATATTCTTAAAAGAAAAGATAAAATGGGGACCAGCAATTAGCATAATGGCTATGTTGCTGGACTCCCGTGTAGTCAACCGTGGTTCAAGTCCAGACCTGGTGGCTTAAACTCACGCCAGGCATGCATGCATGTGTACCCAAGATCCCAAGAGGAGAAAGGAGGAGAAGGGATTGCAGCATGGCCATCCCCCCTGGGGTGTGATTTCTCGCTTTCTGTCTCTCTGTCTTTCTGGTGAGCACACATGTCCTATAGCAAAAAACTCTCCAAAAAAAGAGAAAAGAGAAGATGTTGGAAATAAAAAGAGACAAGCTAAGAAAATGAAAAGTTTCTAGGAGGTTGAACACCAGAATAATAAGAGTTCTAGGAAGAAAGAATAGAGAAAGCAGAGGAAGAGATTATCAATGAAACAATTGTAGAACATTTTCCATAATATAAATACTGGAGTTTCTGGATTGCACTGGGATTACCAGAACAGTACACAGAAATATAACCACATCAAGGCATCTCACAGGACATCTAGAACATTAGAAATAAGAGATAGCTTAAAACCTTCCAGATAGAAGAAAAAACAATTAAGAATTTAAATGTTATTATTTTTTTTCTTAAAGCCAATGTCGGAAGCCAGAAAACTATGGAGGTATGCCTTTAAATTTTGAGCAAAAATGCTTTCTTTTTCTAGCTAAATAATTTATTTTTTAATTGCCAGAGGGTACATGCATTCAACAGAGAGAAAGAGAGAGAAGAGGGAGAAAGCATCTATGACAGGACATGGGCCTGCTGCAATCCCTGTTCCTCCATTTCTCCATTTTGGGATTGTTTTTTTCAAGCCACAGGACTGGGATTTGAATCATGGCCAATCCTGGCCCAAGCAAAAATGCTTTTTAACTTAGCATTTTACATAAAGTCAACCTGTCAGTCCAAATAAGGGTAGGATTAAGATGTTTTCAAATATCCAAAGCTTCAGAAAGTTGCCTGCCATGTCTCTCAATTCAGAAAGCATTGGAAGAGGTGGTCTAAGAAAGAGAGAGTACCACAAGAGAGAACACGCGGTTAAGGAGGCAGTATATCTAACCAGGAGGAGAGGAAATGTGTGGTCCTAATGATGAAAGGAAGATCCCTAGATCACATCTGAGCAGTGAGATGAGAGTGTGTGGGAGAGAGAGTGCTAAAACTGCAAAATGGATGGAATACATATTATGATGGAGTGTACTGAGAGGAAATTTACCCTATAATATACAGTGTATGGATGAGTTAGTTATAAATACATAGTAAATAAAACAAAATGTAAAAAAAAGGGCAATTATTAACACCAAGGAAAACAAAATGGTACTAAAAAGGAAATATCATAGAACATTACACAGTTTAGCTGTGAATTACATTCATGTAACTGAAGTAAGGTAAATGTTAATTTTTTTTGAGAGAGGTTTTTGCTATAGGGTGCCTGCGCTCGCCAGAAAGACAGAGAGAGACAGAGAGACAGAAAGCGAGAAATAACCCCCCAGGGAGGATGGTCATGCCACAATCCCTTCTCCTCCGTTCTCCTCTCAGGATCTTGGGCACGCATGCACATGAGCCCGGTGTGAGTTTAAGCCGCTTGGTCTGGGACTCAAACCGCGGTCGGCTACATGGGAGTCCAGTGACATAGCCGTTATGCTAACTGCTGGTCCCAACATTAAATATTGATCTAGCTAAAAAAATAAGACATAGTTCACAGTGCCAGAGAATGAAGAAGTATTAATGTTATTATAGTGGTATGTGAGTGTGTATATAAACGTGTGGGTATGCATGTATGTATGTTGAATGGGGCAGGCAGAGCTTTTTAAAGATAGTCAATTGATAATAATTCCCCAAAATGAAAATGGAAAATAAACATAATATACTTGATACTTAAAGATAACCAAATTAAGTAACAAAAAATAAACAGACAAAACAAAATAACACATTACAACAACAACATTAAAAAACAGGTGAAAGCATCGGAGATTTCTGCCTCTAGGAATTGAAGTGTGCTGGGGTATGGGTAGGAGTCTCTTTGTACAACTTCCTAGCTTTTAAAAATAAAATTTTGATAGAAATAAAATTCAAATGAAAAAGACAAAACCAAAAGAGCACAAGTTTTTGTTTAAAATCTACAAACAACAAAAGCACATACTTTTAGGCTTGCTTGTTATTTTGTGCAGTGGTTAAGAGCACAAGTTCTGAGGCCAGTTAACCTAGGATTAGATCCTACTTGTAGCACCCATGTGACTTTGGTAAAAGAAACTATTGGTCAAGATGTCTTAGTTTCCTACTATTTGTGTTGTTTCCACTTCATAGGTTCATTGTGAGGATTAAGCTAACCATGCATATTGACCATTGCCTTGCACATGGTAAGTATTCAGTAGACATTAGTCATCACATAGCTGCCAGTGACCCAATAATCCAACAGAAAACGCTGTGGAATGTAGTAAAAACTGAATAGAATGGATAGGCAATAAGGAAGAAAATGAAGTTGCTTCCCCAAAATGCTTATTCCTCTTCTTTCCCCCTAGAAAATACATACACCAATCTTGTGTATATATTTTTTCTTAAACGGTTTTCTTATCTTTTGGAAATGACATTTTTAAACACTTTGGAAATTCCCTGGGTATGCACAGCTCAATCTGGGAATAAACTCATTTTATAGCTGAAGTAAATGAGATTATTGGTCTGAATTAGATGTGAGAGAACGACCTAGAAGTGAACTGTTCTAAATCAGAGCTCAACTTCCCGGACCTATTGGACAGTCTCCTAGAGAACCACAGTCCATAAATACCTGAAGCAGTACTTTCGGTTTAAAATGTTCAGTAAAGCTCCAATCCATTAGACTGCGCTGCTGAGTTTTCTTTATGTCCTCCAAATCTACTTCCACCATCATCTTCTTGGGTTTCTAAAAAGTCATAGGAACACAATTCCAGCTGTAATTTATTTAAGTCCAAATGGAGCTTGCTTGGACTCCCCCAACTAACCAGCATGCACTCCACTTAATTGGGGAAATCTGCATATGTATAAATCCATATGGCAACATTTTAGGAAAGCTGCTGCCAGAAAGAGTATGCCTTCGACTTTTTCTTTTCTTTTTTTTTATGGGCAACATAATCTAAATATTTTTATTGTTAGGTTATACTCTTCTGAGTCCTGTTAGCAATTACAGGCAGGTTTTCTGAACTCACTTCAAGACAATGCTAGCTCTACATGGCTGTATGGTCAGCAGGTGTTTGTGAGGTTGCCAAGCCACACTGTCTAGAGAGGAGCATGGAGTTGGGAAGTTTTGCTTAAACTGGCTAGAAAATTAACTCCTTTCTTTCCAGTCGGGGCAGGTCTGGGGATGTCTGAATAATCCTTCGTGCATTGCTATCCTTAAAGTCTCTCTTTCTCTCTTTTTTTCCTTCCTATTTTTCACTCCAGTTCATGGTTTTCTCAGATCATCTTACTTGTCATGTACACTTGTAGGAAAGTAATTCCTTACCTTTTCAAGAGAATCAGCCGTTGCGAATGCTTCATCTTTGATCTCATTGTTCACGGTCTGCTCTGTAAATCAAAGACACCAACATCCAGTTGTGTTCAAGCTTTGTTCTTGCCTTGGTCAGTGCTGTGCCTTTTTGTTGCCTGTATGATCTATGTTTCTGTGCTGAAAAGGCAGTTTCTGAAAGGCATGTTTCATGCCTCCAAAAAGGTGTTTGTGTCAATAATTCTAAATCAGTGTCTACCTAGAAAAGTTATACTAAACTCTTTGAAAAGAACCCAGTTTCATATATGATACATTCTAAATCATATCAGATATTTGGCTTTCAAATGATATTACTCACTTCTAACAATACTAACAATATATCTTTACAAGTTGCAAATATTTTCTTTCTTCCTTTCTTTCTTTTTTTTTTTTTTGAGAGGTTTTTGGTATAGGGTGTGTGTGCTCACCAGAGAGACAGAGACAGAGAGAGAGAGAGAGGGAGAGAGAGAGAGAATGAGAGAGATAGACAGAAAGTTAGAAATCACACCCCCCGCCTCCCCCAGTGAAGGTGGCCATGCCACAATCCCTTCCCTGCCATTCTCCTCTCTGGATTTTGGACATGCATGCATACAAGTCCAGCATGAGTTTTAAGCCACAAGGTACAGGATTCAAACTATGATTGACTATGTTGAAGTCCAGTGACATAACCATATGGCACCCATTGGTCCCAGAAGTTGCAAGTATTTTTTGATTAAACTAAATCTTAGTACACATGGTTTATCCTGTGTTGGCAGTCATCACAAAGCCTTTCCACATTTCTATGGATCTTATCTGGTTGATGACAGAGTAGGGCAAAGACCTAGCAGATAAATGCACCTCCTATTGGAAAATAAATGCTACTATTTCACCATCTTGTAGAGTTCTTCCATTCATTAATCATTTATCAACTTAGAAACCATCTAACGAGTGTCAACAGATTTTCAGATAGAGTTTAACAAAAGTTAGTTAAATGAATTGTTAGATGGACTCCATGGCATCATACGGTGGCCCAATAGGAGTCTGCTGTGAACAAAGAGTATGCTTATATTAATGATTAGAATTATGATATCATTCCTGGCTATGAAGCAAGAAACCATGTGAACATGGAGGGAATGAAATCATGCTGTTGATTGCAGCATCTCCAGAGGAAAACAAAAATGCTCCATGACAAATAAGTTGAATAAACAGGTATCATGACTATAAGTGTCTCAGAACTTGTAATTTGCTCTTGTGATTGTCAATCTGTAACAGAGAAATTTGACCAAAGAATTAGAGACTGTATGGGAAAGTGGATCTTGTGGAAATATACTTTGGTGCTCAACAACTGAGCCAACCTGATTTCTCATCCTTAAAATAATTGCAAATTATGTCTTACAAAGTTGTGTATGAAATGACTCTCGCTTACTCTGCAAATGGATCTCCTTCACTCTCCCCTGTTCATTCCAGTCCTGATAGACTGCCCTGCTTATTGTCCTAAGGGTTTTGCACTTGCTTTTCCTTTGTCTGGCAAGCTTTGCTTTTAGATATTCACCTGTTTCAAATCCTCACTTCATTCTTATTGTTGCTCAAATGACACCTTCTCAAGAGCCTTCTGCCTCTCACCCTGCTTTATTTTTATCATAGTATTTATCAGTGCCTGATACTATTTGTTAAGGTATGCCTCTCCAACTCAAAAGTAAATTCCTAGAGAATGGAAACGTTTTTATTTTTCTCTGTGTATCTGTAGAAAGATACTCAGAACCAGGTAGGAACTGAGTAATTATTTTGTTTTATTGAGTGAGGTAAATCTACAACATATATTGAAGCCAGAAATGAATATAGAGTCATATAGGTAGAGCAGGAATATGGAGGAAAATGTATCACAAAGGCTTATTTTAGGATAAGCATGAGATTTAACTTCTCATTTGGTGGCAAAGAGAACTATATTTGGGTATCTAGAGGGACTAAGTCAACCAGGCCTACCAAGGACAGGCCAGTGTTTTTTTCTTTCTATTGGGAGCATAGCTGCTTATATTTTCCCTACTAGCTCCATCTTGCCTTGAGCTGACAAAGGTGACAGCATGAATGCTCCATTTGGGTTTAGAGGAAAACTATAAAGCCAGTTCAGTATTTGTATAAATATATCCACTCAAGAGAAAACTCAGGCCAACTATAACTCTAAATAGACCATGATGTCCCATGAGTCCTTGAAGCAATTGATATGAAATCTGTGGAATAAAAATTATTCTATTCTGTGGTCTGCCAGATTTCCGGGAGATTTGATATTCCCTTCTGTGTCTAAGGATATAGCAGAAAAAGTCTCCAGTTCAGAAAATATATTCTATAAAACTATGCATCAGTTGTTTTGTCAAAAAAAAAAAAAGGACGTTCTAAAACTAATCTGAACTCTAATAGTAGAGTAAAAGTCATTTTTTTCTTTCTTTCTGATTTCTGTCTTCAACTGCATAATCCTTTGACAGTGTGATTCAGTAGTTTTTGACACATCTGGAAATGGATGCTTTCTCATCCCTTTGAAAAACAGCTTTCCTAATCTGTTTTACTTTAGAGATAACAAGATCCCTCTGCAAAGCAGTTACTTTATTAAAAAAACACCCAACAAGCAGAAAGGGCACATCTAAGCCTACAGTCTCACGGTTATCGACTCTTAGGTTTTTCATAAATATCCAATAGGCCCTGTCAAGTTCAAAAACAGTCTCAGATGGAAATCTAGTGTTTGGTTAAGAAAAGCACAAATATTCAGCCCTTCATGTCCAGGAGCAGGCTTTTTATATGCATTTGATGCTAAAAAGGTTGTGCAGGAAATACATGTATAATTTCTGCCTTGTTTAAAGAGAATAAAAGGTCTCCTTTCGAACTAAGTAAAATTCAGAATTAGGGAAAAAGATGTAAGATTGTCATTATAAGCAACAACAAATTCTCATCCCCATGATGACAGCCACACTGAGACATCAAGGCCTTCCCATTCAGATGTCAGTGTCCCTAGATGTAGGTCAACTACGCAGGAAGAAGCTCGGTTGTGACATGTGCCTTCACCACTGCTTGGCCTTCAGGATATCACAGCCACAACAACATTTTCAGCCCTGAGGATTTAGGAAGTTGCTATAATCATGCTCTTTCCATCAGGATCCAGAATACCAATTTATGTGGTTTGGCCACCAGGTGGCAAAAGTTGCCTGAGGAAAACTCAAAACCAGCAGCTTTAAAGGAAAAAAAAAAAAAAAAAAAAATTAAACTAAAAACCTAAGGCTTTTCATTTTTCTTGGCTTATTCTGGCTTCATATAAATTCATATGACTTGTTTGTCATACATATGTATCCTCATAGGATGAGTTAATGCTGTAACAACTCAGCTTAATATATTTGGCTTATTTTTTGTGAGCTCGGTCAATAGGCATGGGTTCTTAGGACAGAGAAACAGGGAATCTACCCTACTGGGAATGAAGGAAGGAAGACACACAAAGGCAACAAAATCAGGATAAGAATCAGTATGAGGGTGACACTATGAATATGGCTAAACCATTAGATGTATCACAAAGAATTTCTGTAATGGAGGAAGCATTGTTTGAAGCTATCCCTCAGAATCTTGACTTCCTATTTGTATGTGGTCGAATGAGTGACTTTACTTTCCTCATCTATGGAACTGGAATAATCCTATCTCCCTCATAAGCTTGATGTTTATAAAGTATTCATTAACATGTGTAAAATTACTGTCTTCTTCCTTCTGACACTTTCACTGATCTGCTCTACTAAGAGGTGAGAAGCTTTTCCTTAACTTAATCCCATTGATGAGTTCCTCTTATACTCCTGTTTAGATAAATGAAAATGGTAGGATGACCATTAGTCAATATTGTCTTACCTCTTCTCTTATGGCACTTAGCACACTTTTTTTTTAAGGCTTTTGCCACAGAGTGTGTGCACGTGCTTACCAGAGAGAGAGGAAAAGTGAGAAATCCCTCCCCCCCTCCCCGGGGGGATGGCCACATGGCAATCCCTTCTCCTCCAACTTTAACCACCATGCTGCCTGCTGGCCACTTAGAACATATTTTTAAAAACGCTTTTTTAGGGCCAGAAGGTGACATGGTGGTTAAGCACTGGGTGCCCACATGGCCAACCACATTTTGAGTCCCAGGCATGGCAGCTTGAAACACACCAGGCACATGCACATGTGCGCCCAAAATCTCAAGAGGAGAATGGAGGAGAAGGGATTGTGGTGTGGCCATCCTCCCTGGAGGGTGATTTCTTGCTTTCTGTCTCTCTGTCTCTCTGGTACATGCACATGCCCTAAAGCAAAAACCTCTTTAAAAAATTTTTTTTAATGCATTTTAAAATGATGAAATATAACACAGAAAGTGCATAAAGCTTGTGTTTGTTATAGTATTAAAAAAATCTCAGCACCTAGATATCTTACATATATCATTTAATGACAACCTCCTTATTGAACTCTAAAATTAATTATACATTTTTCGTAAATTGTTTTGTGTCTTGTACATACACAATATTTACTAAAAATGATGGTTTTGTTTCTTGTTCAAATCTTACACTTTTATCTCTTTTTCTTGACTTAACAATTTAGCTTGCATCTCCAATACAAGATTGAATACATGTTTATAGTGGACTTTCTTCTGAACTCAAAAAAAAAAAACTGTTCAATTTTTTTGGCTTGATATATAGTGTTTGTAGTGGTAATTTAAAAAATAAACTTTATAAGATTGGAGAATTTTTCTTCTAGCTAGTTTGCTAAGATATTTTCTTATAAAATTGTTATAGAATTTTAAGTGCTTTTTCTGCATCTATAGAGATGGGTCAGTGATTTTTCTTTGTTAACTGGTAAATTATATTGATTTCATAATTGATGTATTTTCCTTCTATTCCTATATAAGTGCAACCTATGTATAATTGTCATTTACTATATTATTAGATCCATTTTCTTAAGTTTTATTTAAGATGTTTGCATCTATGTTCATGAATGAGTTTAACTTACCATTATCTTTTGTTGCGTGATCCTTGTCCATTTGATTATAAAGTTTGTGCTAGCTTCACAAAGTGACTAGGGAGTTTACCTGGTTTGTTTTTGCATTGCTAACAAAAACACCTGTGACTGAATGATTTTCTAGAAAATAGAGGTTTATTGAATCATGATTCTGGTGGCTAGAACATGACCAAACAGAAGATGGTGGGTGCAGAGAGAGAGTTTCTAGACTTTTGAAAGAACTAGCCATCTCTCCTGAGAGCTATTGATAGAGCTCATTCAGTTCTCTCAGGAGACAGCATTAATCCATTCATGACACAGAGTCTCCATGATTCAATCATCATGATCTAATTGCTGCCCACTAAGACCAAATACTAAAACATAAGCCTTTAGGGGGGAAACCATTATTCAAACTATAACATACCCTATTTTTCCATTTTTAAAAATAACTTTTTAAATTATTTTATTGTCTACTGTTTAGAATTACTTTCCAATGAGATCAGTTGGGCAAAGTGTGTCCTATTTAAAAATTTTTGATTTTTTTTTTGTCAGAGGGCACATGTGCTCACTTGAGAGAGACAGAGACAGAGATTGCATAAGAGAGGGAGAAAGCATCTCCTTACCCCAAACGGGGTGTGCTCATGCTGCAATCCTCTTCTTTCCCTTTTTCCATCCTGTCAGGATTTGGGGCACATATACAAGTGAACTCAATGTGTTTTTCAAGCTGCTAGGTTGGGATTCAAACATCAGTCGGCCATGTGGGATCTGGCTCTCTTAAACACTAGGGTATAGGGCCAGTCTTGATTATTGACTTAATAAATTTAACTGGTTATAAGACTATTTAGGCTTTCTGTTTCTTCTTGAGTTGTTGGTAATTTATGCTTTTCCAATACCTTGCCCATTTCATTTTCTTATTTAGTGGGATAAAGTTGTTTATATCCTTCTATTTTTAAATTTTAATTTCTCTAAGAATAAGGAAAGTCTCTGTTTCTTTATTCTTGGTATGAATTTTATTCTTGATATGGTTTTACATCTGAGATGGTTACTAATACTGACTCTTTTCTGTGCTAGGTCTTACATAAAAGATTTATAAATTTTATTAGTCTTTAAAGATATAAAATTTTACCTTTTTTTCTTATTGCATCTGTGTTCTCTATTTTACTGAGTTACTCTTATTTTTATTGTTTTTTTTTTTCCATTTTGTTTGGATTTATTTATTCCTATCTAACTTGAAGTTGATATTAGTTTTTAGTCTTTTAAAATATATTTAAAATATATTTATTTAAATCTGTAAACTTCTCTTGAAGTATCTCTTATATTTGCTGCATTCTATAGTTTTAATATTATGTATTTTCATTATCATTCTGTTTGAAATATTTCCTGATTTCTAGTGTGACTTTTTTCTTTGACCTAAGTGTTTCATGGAAATGTATTTCTTGGTTTTAAAACATTTGTTCATTTTCTCATAATCTTTTTGTAATTGATGTCCACCATAATCTCATTGTAGTATGAGATATAGTTTGTATAGTTTTGATCCTGTGAAAACTTGATGAGATTTGCTTTATGACCCATAAAAGATTAATATTTATAAAACTTACTTAAGAAGCTATGGTATTATGGAGGCTTAAATATGGGGATATTAATAATTACAGTAAGTAGTGGGAAATAACCAATTCCATAAGAAATGTAATTAATTATGACTATGAAAATGCTGAGAAAGACAATTCTATATGGACACATCCAACAAGCCTTCACAGAGGTGCCACTGAAACCTAATCATAACCAAAAACAGAACTCTACGTGAAGGGTATTATGGCAGAAAGGCACAGAGACTAAAAAGAGAAGGCTAGGCAAAGGAAATATGTCCAAATTCTGTTTGGCTAGAGTACAGGACATAAAAGGGAAAAGGTAGAATGAAGTGTTGGAAACTATAATATGTTCATTCTACTCACTGAGGTTTATGCCTAAAGTCAGACTTGTGTTCATGTACTATGTAAATATCAGCTGTGCTTGCTATTGAAAATATTTAGATTAATTAGATATTTAGTGAATCAATAAAATGTGGGGGAGAGGAAAGGCACAGAAAGCAACCATGGGATACAAGAGACAGTGTGGGAGGAGGGTGGGAGATGGCAGAGGGTGAGAGATAGGGAATCAAGGATTGGAAAAAGAGCAAAATATACAGGAAACAAGAAATGGAAAATTATTTGTTGATTAATACACATATGTTGATGTGCTTGATTGAGCCAATATACAGGATATTCTGGATGGAAAATCTCATTTTGTATGCTGTAATGATGTACAGTGAATGAATGTAAATAAATAAATTTAAATAAAAAATATAATTTGGTACTCCTGGAGAAGCATATAAAGGAGGTCAAAGAGCTGGGTTCAATTTTTTTTTTTTAATTTCTTTCTTCTTTTTTCTTTTTTTCAGAGTGTGCATGTGAGAGAGAGACAGGGAGAGAGAACAACCCGAACAGGATCTTGAGGCTAAGATCCACTGCTAGCCTTCAGTGATATCTGGATTGTAGGCAAATACCTGCCTGGTCTACTCAGGGAGGTCTCTGGGCTTGAATTGGGAACCTTCCCATGTAAGAATGCCTTGCAGAAGGACATGCTTTACAGCTGTGCCAACATCTGGCACTAAGTTGCATTCTACTTTGCAGGTAGTAGGAAGCCATTGGAATGTTAGAAGCAGAGAAATAAAAACATGGTATTTTAGGTAGATTAATCTAACCTCTGTGTGTAGGAGGGCTTAACACAAGTTTAGTTTAATATCCTTCTATGTATCTATACCTTAAAACATATCAATATTTATAATATTATACTTTAGAATGTGAGTAATGAATGACCTGAGCTATAAGAAGAGGATGGAAACTGATGTTCACTGAGCACTGATTGTGTACCAAGCTCCATACTAGGCATTTCATTGTGTTACTTCAGTAACATTTTATATTTTTAGCATACAACCACAATAACTCTTTGAAGTACTAATGAGGAAAGTATTAATTATTTGCTGCACTGAATTTACTAAGAGTGGTCTAAGAGGCATTAGGTTGCTTTGAGAAACAAGGGTTGAAACAAGGTGAACTTACTGAGTAACAACTTTCAATTTGCCAAATAACTTAGATACTCAACGATTATTTTTTTTCAATTGAAATAGGCAAGGTGAGGCCAGCAGATGGTGTTACCACACTAGACTCTAGACTAGACTAGACTCTAGGCACTAGACTCCCACACAGCTGACTGCAGTTCAAATCCCAGACTTGGCAGTTCGAAAATCATGCAAGGGGCATGTGCATGTGTGCCTAAAATCTCAAGAAGTGAATGGAGAAGAAGGGGCTGCAGCATGGCCATCCTTGCTAGAGGGTGATTTCTCACTCTCTCTCTCTCTGTCTCTCTCTGGTGAGTACACACAGCCTATGGCAGAAAAAGAAAAGCAAATGGGCAAGTATTACATTTATATTGAAATAACGCAACCTGAAGCCCTTTGTTTAATTATTTTATAATAGTATCTACACACACAAACACACCCAGACACATACACATGAACTGCACTTGTACTTACCAAAATGCCTAGGATGGGGCCTATTCTCCCTGCTGGTCTGCTCTGATGGCTCTGTCTTCTCAGGGCCTACAGGTTTCATGTTACTTGAGTCAGAATACTTCATACTGTCTGTATCAGGCTGACTGGAATCTGAAGGTGTTCTATTGCTCTCATCATCTTGCACAGATGTTGACCAATTCTGATCCATGAATAATATTCTGTCTTTGGTTTCGGTATCTAGCCAGTGTAAAGACACCCATGAGATTCAATACTCAAAAAACTGGCAATTGTAAAGTGTGAGAATGCCTTTTATTCCTGCCGTGCAGTGTACCTGTTTGCTTTCTGGCCTCTTGAGTTTCCATTTTCTTGATGTATTGCTGTCTTATCTGTTTAGCAAATCTGGCCGGGTTGTCCCATGGTATGTTGAACATCTCAGAATCTGTCCCCTGTATCATACCAGAAGGCTGTAGTTTTCCATTTTTGTCAACCTCAGAGAGCCTTAGGCTCTCAAAAGTAAATACCTTGAAAGCTCGTTCTACTTCATTCCAGCTCAAGACTTCTGTAAAAGGTGAAAGATTTATACAATCTGAAGAGAAATCAGAACAGCCGATCAAATCTTCTGTAAGAAAGACATTGTCATTTAAAACAGAGAACTTACTGCATCTAACACAGGCTGTTATACTGAATAGGTTTTTCTGCTCATCTGGGCTCAGGAAGGTTCCCTTCCACTCAGATGAATTTTGTTTGCAATGGGATTTATTAGATTGCTTATTTATTTCTAATGACATTTCTTCACCTTTTTACCTACCCCACTGGTTTTCATTTTCTATGTTTTAAGCTTTGTTGTAAGCGCCTGGGAGTTGAAGAAAAATAAGATTAGCTCTTATACTTTAGAAGGGGAAAAGGTGATAGCCTGTATTCCAGTTGGAAAGCTGTAGAAATAGTCTCCATGTGAAATGATGTGAACTGCAGTGAAATGGTATGAGGGATGTAGTGAGACTGGCTGGAGGGTGTGGTGGAAAAGGGGAAGAAGGAATGACTACAAGGGTTTTAGTAGGGAAAAGTGGTCATTTGTTGAGATAAGGAGATTGTGAAGGGATAAATTTAAGCATCAGGAATCAAGAGTTTGGTTTTGCACCATTTAGTATGAGATGCTAAAAGAGAAAAAAGGAGGGGCAGGAGGATAGAAGGTCTGGGATGGGAAAAGTAAACAGCGTATGCCTGAGGTTTTGATGGTGGGAACAGAAAGAAGAGTCCTGTGCTGCATGCAGAGTGGAGCTGGAGAGAGAATGGTATCGTACCACAAGGCAGAGGGAGAAATGGAAGGGTGCAGGATGCAGGCAAAGGACAGATGTTCTCAGGAACTTTAGGAAGGGGGTAATTATGTAACTTCCAGACATGCCATGTTCAAGCCCATGAGGCTACACTCTGCAGAGAGGTGTTGGTAGGACAATGTTCAAAAGATCTCAGTTTTGTCTCCTTAAAAAGAGAAGAAAGAAATCAAGATTTAAAATATTTGGTAATTTGGTTTGGGTTAAAATTAAATGGAAAGGAAGAACTGCACATGCTTATTTCTTCTGTAGGTCATATGCTTTCTAGTCAAATAAAGATGTCTGAGTAATTTAATATTCCCTCTTATAAATAGAAGGGTATCTGCATATTGCCTCAAATGGGAAACAGAATTTACTTTGGCAAATTACCTATATCACAAAATTGTTGTGAACTCTGAGATGAGAACTGACTCTAGATATTCTTTCAATTGCCAGAGGGTGTGTGTGCTTGCCAGAAAGAGGTACAGAGAGAGAGAGAGCGCCTCCCCTACACTGGGATATAGTCATGCTGCAATCCCGTTTGCACTTCTCCATTCTGGCTGGATGTGGGGGACATATCCACACGCCCACCACTTGTTTTTTCAAGTGGCCTGGTGGGGATTCCAACTGCATGGTCAACCACGTGGAATCTGGCTCCCTTACTAGTTACAGAGCTCGCTCAAGTCTAGATATTCTTATGACTCATCTTCACACTGTCCTCAAAGAAAAGGAAAGGGCCTTTCATGTCATGAAAAGTGGTGAACTCGAATCAATTCATTGTCAGTAGTATACTAACAGGGGTTCTCTATCCCTACCTAGGCCTATAGTCAATTGAGGCATACAGAACGTGCTTAGAACTACACACTATATCATCAGGTTTCAATTGTAGCATTCTTCCTGTCTTCTGCTCAGTGACATAGAGAAAGGAAGTTCTGCTGAACATCAAAAGACCACTATCACTATAATCCTAGAGCAAATAGTTCAACCTGCCAGGATCTCAGCTTTCATATCTCAAAATAGACTTCGAATATATTGGTCTGAGGTTCCTTTTGGTTAGAAAATTTTATGGTCCTATGATTCACTTTTCTTCAGAAGACTTTAATTTCTGGATATGAGCACTGTTCTCAAGATTTGATCTCAGGATAGGATTAAATATGAGTTTCTGGTAGTGCAGGTTACAACACGTGCACATCTGCCTCCCAGGCAATACACTTTCTTATTTCCTTCCCGTCGTCATGTGCAGAGGTGGTCTAAAGAAGTGCTCCCTAGTTTTAACTTGGTGAACATTCCTGCCAAATTTAGATGATGTAGACTTTCTTTTCCTCTTCTCTAATTAGAAAAAAAAGGGCTATGGAGGGACATAAAGCGATGGAAAAAAATTGTTTTAAATTCTTAATATAATGTTTCCTTCATAAAGAAGAAGAAGGATGTAGTTAGGAGCTATGATTGTTCTGGAAAAAAACACTTTGTAAAGAGGTAGAGAGCTTTTTTTTAATATTATCATCATAATCTTCTTTATATTACATTGGATTACATATAACTTTACATTGACTTCCATTGCTTTTTCAAAAGGGAATGCCATGTATGTCAGTCAATACAGAGACATCAATCTCCCCGCTTTATCATTCAATGTCTTTTCCATGCATTTCCCAATAATTGTTATTATTATAATTTTTTAAAACAGTCAATCACTATTTCTCATTTTGCTTGTTAAAAGACTTTACCCATCATGAAATACTTCCCAGACCAGTCGAGAATACTATACACGTCATCATCAACAGATAATAAACCATATCTGTTTCTCACTAACATCCTCTCTATTGTTCACTTGCTATCTTTCTCTATCCTCTTCTCTCTTTTTTTTATAGTTTATTTTTTATTATAATTTTTTTTCCCATCACAACACACAAATGAATTTTCCATCCAAAATACACTGTGCATTGGCTCAACCAAGCACGTCAACATATATGTTCTCAACAAATAATTTCCCAATTCTTGTGTCCTGCATACCTTGCCTTTTGTTTTACCATCCTAGATTCCCCACCCCCCTCCCTCTGTTATGACCCATCCTCCTCCCACATTGTCCCTGTCATCCCCGATTGCCCTCCGTGCCTCACCCCTCCCCAAATGATCTGTCAGTGATCTTAATTAGTCTAAGTCTCTCCAATAGTTATCACAGCTGACACATGCCTCTACATGAACTCAAGTCTGACTTTAGGCCTAAACCCCATTGGGTAAAAAGAGCATACTATAAAGTAGAACCCAACTGGGCCCATACCGCTCACTGCAGCCATCAAATATCCAATTTTTTTTTTTAAATGGTACGAATAGTTTAACCGTTTTTTTTTGTTTGTTTTTTGTTTTCGTTTTTTTTTTTTTCCCTAACATTCATTCCCTGAGCATCATCACAGCATACTAAATGTAATTTCCCATCTAGAATAGACTGCATAGTGACCTAATCAAGCATGTTATCATTAATAATATTCCATTTCTACTTTCTTGCTTATGTATATATATACCATACCGCTCACTACAGCCATCAAATATCCATTTTTTTTTAAATGGTATAAATAGTTTTACCGTTTTTCTGTTTTTTGTTTTTTTGGTACCTAACATTCATTCCCTGAGCATCATCACAGCGTACTAAATGTAATTTCCCATCTAGAATAGACTGCATAGTGACTTAATCAAGCATGTTATCATCAATAATATTCCATTTCTACTTTCTTGCTTATGTATATATATATATATTTTTTTTTTTTCTCTTAAGAGGTAGAGAGTTTTCTTGTCTCCATCACTTATCAAGATTCCTGAACAGGATATGGGAAACAAAGAAACATGGGGAGAATGGACAAGAAATTTGGATAAACTGACGAGAGATAGACTTGTAAACTGACTTGCTGTCAGAGAGCTTCCTTTACCCTCTTGGCATCTCCATATCTGATCTCAACCACCATTTAACCTCTCAATTAGTGATATAGCAGCCAGTTTCTAATTGAAATACCATGCTTCTAACATGGACCCACATGACTGGATGAAGATATAAATGGTTATCCAAATTTTATCCATCAAAAGGGGAGCAAAATCATAGTTTCCCACTTGAGATGAAGGGATTTTGTTGAATTAGTGCTTTCTTCCTCTTTGTTCTTTAAGACAGGGCATAGCTATAGTCTGTGAGTTTTCTAATCTTCTACTCAGGATCATTCAGTAGTTATCTTTATACTGGAATATAATTTTTTCATCTTTTTTTCCTAGGACAGGTAGACCAATAAGTAGATACAAAGATATATTTAAAAATCTAACTTAATGTTCTGACTTATCTACTGATTAAGACTGGATATAAAGGAGAGCACATCAAGCTTTCTTTGAGTACCAAAATTCTCCTGGAACTGTTTTCATTGACTGTGGGTAGTCATGATAAAGGGGTGCAGTGGTAAGGCTGTAGAGGGAGAGATGGAATCCTCTTGAAAAAGGACTATAACATCTTGATGGGAGGTTTTTATTTAAAAACAATTTTTAAAAAATACATGAGCCTTACTGCTCTTCCGTAGGATTAAAATGATCACATCATCTTCAAAGATGTCAATGAAAGAGGTTGGAGGGAGAAAAGAAGGGAATTATCCTGGTTAAGAAAACATAGTGTAAAGAAATTCAGTACATTGAATTGAAGAATGTCATACATCATAATTATCATGCCATTGTTAATGATGTTATTCAAAATAAGAATGTTGTAGTCAACTGAAATACATGCCTTAGTCTCTGAAAGGTCTTTCAATAACAAAAATACCTTTTGCAAACAAGGGTATAGTTTTAAGAGGCACATGTGACCATTAATTGAGATGAGTTTAAGCTAAGACAAAACAATGTACTCACCGCTTGTACAAAAGTGCATAAGCTCATGAATTGTAGCTAGACGTTTAGTGCTGTTCCATGGCGGGGGCAGTGGGAACTGAAGGAATTCCCAAAGTGGTAACTTGGACTGCATCTCCTGCTCAATTTGAACTGGATCGAAATTCTTTTGGTCCTGATGAAAAAGAGTAACATGACAGAAGACATTAAAGTAAGCTGTCAAGTGCCTTATGCATATGGAGAAGGCTAAATATGATACCTTCACTCTCATTATGTGGGAACAGGGGAAATCAATGGTAATTGGGGAGGACAAACTGTTGGTATTTTGCTGAAGGTCAAAAAAGCTAGTTCTCACTTTGCCAGAAGTTTCTAGTACATAGAAATGACTGATTCTTCATTCACAGTGACAAACTGTCAAAAGTCTCACATCAATTCATCTCTCTCTTTTGAGATTTCTTTCTGGTTTTCACTAGTTTTTTTATGGCAGCATTTATTTTAAAAAAAAGTAGCTATAAGGTACTAATGCAAATTTGGTAGTGGTCAAAATCAACCTAATGGCTAACTGGACCACTACAATTGGGCAAGTTTCTTTTGCTGATGGCATTTCTCCCTTATCTAAGATCCTATTTTTCGAAGAAGTATCTGTTGATATTTTGTACATACATTTTAGTTAGTGTTTGCTAAAGTTATCTAATTAAGATACCCTCAACTGAGTCACTGTAACACACTTTTCCACAGTTATCCTCAGGCTATCCTGATGACCATTACCTTTAGTACATACTTCTTGTGGGCGTGAGCATCGTGATAGTTCAGAAAATTGGGCACTGCTTTGCTTTTGCTTTCTCTTTCTTCTTCAGATGAAAATACTTCATACAGATTCTATTCGAATAAAAACAATCCTGATTTAAAGAGAGAATATGTACTTTTTCAAACTTAAGTATTCTTTGGGGCCTAGCTGTAGTAGTCTTTGTACTGGTTGACCTGCTTAGCAGGCTGAGGCTACATGAAATACTGGGTTCAATCAACTCATAGCCTACCCTAAAAGCTGGTGGAGTGGTACATGCCTACAATACTGGCTACTTGGGAGGATGATGCAGGAGGATCATAATGAAGTAAAACCTTCTTTAAAAAAACAAACAAAAACCCAACTTTTTGTAGATCTCATGCCTCTGACCTTTTTTTCCTTCTCTGAGAGACACAGTGATGGCAGAATGGATACAATGTGAGCTGCGATTCTGTGATCTAAGCCATCTGCTCTGGGGGGCGGCTCCACCAGGCTGGGTGGGACAAGATCTTCCTCAGATGCCACAACCTATTAAGATAAATGGTTGGGAGAAATAGATTGAATGGTCAGCTCTTTACTGATACTCATGTATTTCCATTGCTCTAAGAACAAGACCGTTTCTACCATTAAAGTACCAGTGATTCCAGGGACTATCAGTTGGTGTAATGGCTATGTCGCTGGACTCCCATGTAGTCAATGGCAGTCTGAGTCCTGAACTTGGTGGCTTAAACTCACGCCGGGCATGTGTGCATATGTGCCCAAGATCCTGAGAGGAGAACGGAGGGGAAGGGTGTGGCCATACCCCCAGAGGGTGATTTTTTGTTTTCTGTCTTTCTATCTCTCTCTGTCTTTCTGGTGAGCACACAAGTCCTATAGCAAAAAACTCTCAAAAATAAATAAATAAATAAAGCACCCATGATTACACAAAATGGCAGTAGAGTATCAGTGATTGCCAATACGAAAGGAAAAATTTTTGCAATCCATGCATTATAGTAGGTATAATTTTAGATATAATTTAATTGTATTAATATAGATAACAAAAATACAAATGGTAAACAAACAGCAAACGGCTATGGTAGAAGTCAAAATAATAATAATATATAGTTTTTTAAATTAATATTTATGCTTTCTCTCATAGCACTGACACAGTGCTCATGTAACGTTGGACTTGGGAAGTATTTATTAAATGCCCAGTACATGCCGGTTTGATGTAGGGCATCTTCACATACATTAAGTCACTGTAATCTTGTGGGATAGATATTATTTTCCATATTATAGGAAGGAGAAAACTAGGGTGAGTGAAGTTAGACGAATGACTCAAACCTGAGGACACTGAGTGGGAGGACCTAGAGTTCAGTCAAGTCTTCATTCATTCTTCAAGAATAGAAAAATTATAAGATGAGATCAGAAATGGATAATAGCCTCTTTTATATGGGGAAAGTATGGTCTAGAAAGATTATATGTTTTGTTCAATTTTATTTGGTAAACAAGTAAAAGAGGGTGAACTAAATATAGCCAAGATAGGTACCTCATTTACAACTTTTCTCTTTACCCTAAATCCTACAACCATCCTCTTTGATTTTATATCTACCTATGAAGCTTCTCAACATTAGCATTGATGACATTCTGAACTAGATAATTATTTGTTGCAGATCACTGCCAGAAGTCCCATGGGAGGCAAAGTCATCCCTGGCTGAGAACCACTGCTATAAAATAACAAAATAGCTTCATATTCTTTACCTTTCATAAATACTCTACTTTCAAGAGTCATTTACTGTCCCCCTTTTCTGTCTTCCCCTGGACAAGCTTGTAGATGTACGTAAGTTATGAAAGACCACTCAAAACTATTCCTCCTCTGAAATGTTCAACTCAAATACCATCCTATAAAATGCCATCCCATCACCCCTATACTGCAGTTTTTTTTATCCTCTTATTATTAAGACTTTATTCATGCAACTGAACTCATCAGCTGTCCCTTTGGTATCTGGGACATAGTAGATGGTAAATAAGTATTTGTTGCCTTGAGTTGAGTTGAATAAAACAAGACAAACTAAAATAAACAAAATGTGGCACTGAAAATTCTATAGAACTTCTGAGCCTTTACAAACTTTCTGGTATAATCAAACTATTGAGTTTTTATTCTGTCAAAAATGACAATTAAAAAACTAATGTAGTGTAAAAAAACCACAAAAAACATTATGGGGTAATTAAAGGCAAATACTAGTGTGTCTATCAAATTGGCTAGAAAACTACAACCAATAGTTGTAGATGGCATAATGGTTACATTGCTGGACTGCCACATGGCCAATCATGGTTCGAGTCTCAGATCTGGTGGTCTGAAACTCATGCATGCGCATGTTTGTGTGTGTGTGTGTGTGTGTGTGTGTGTGTGTGTGTGTGCACAAAATCCTGAGAGGAGAATGGAGGATATAGAACTGTAGCGTGGCCATTCCCCCGGGGGGTGATTTCTTACTTTCTGTCTCTCTGTCTCTATCTCTCTGGCAAGTGCATGTGCCCTAGCAAAAATCTCTCTCAAAACAAATAAAAACCCCAAAAAACAAAAAACAAAGAAGAAAAACCAGTACAATAGATCATGCCACTAACATACATGATAAGAAAAGATAGCAGAAATGAAAGAAAGCATAAACAGAAACAAAGGAAATTTAAAAATTAATCTAAGTGAATAGCATAAATAACTTTCTGTCATATTGCAAGCCCAAACAAAATGAACATATTTATATGAAAATACTAATGACCAAAATTAGCCATAGAAGTTAAAAAGCTAATTCAATCTACATGTACAACAGAAAATGTAAAGATAATTAAAAACCATTAATCACCCCACCCACCCATCCAGGACCCTCTTTCTCTTCCATTCAAACAACACCAGACCCAGATATTTTAAAGATGAGTTCTACCCAGGGAGCCAGCAGTTAGCGTAATGGCTATGTCGCTGGACTCCCACGTAGTCGACCGCGGTCCGTGTCCCGGACCGGGTGGCTTAGAACTCACGCTGGGCGCGTGTGCATGCATGCCAAAGATCCCGAGAGGAGAATGGAGGAGAAGGGATTGCGGCGTGGCCATCCCCTCTGGGGTGTTATTTCTCGCTTTCTGTCTCTTGGTCTCTCTCTGTCTGTCTGGCGAGCGCATGCGTCCTATAGCAAAAACCTCTCAAAAAAGAAAGATGAGTTCTACCCAAACTTCAGGGAATATTAAATAAACTGTTCCACTGGAGACCAAAAGAGAGAGGATTAAAGTTGATAATCAAAGTAAATTTTAGCTTTATCTGAAATATTTCTATCTTTATAAGAGAGAATGTGTTCAATCACCAGAAGTGAAATTCCAAAGTAGTGCCAAACACACACACACACACACACACACACACACACACAGATGTACCAGATGTACACATACACACACACTAAAAGTAAAGAGAGATGAAGTGATTTACTCAAGCTTACTGTCTGGGGAAAAAACCTCAGAGTATACCTTACCTACCTGTTCCAGCATGCAGTGCAGTATAAGAGACACAGAAACAAATTCCTCTGGTATCGGATTCAGTAAATCATTGTAATATCTCATGTCTACTTCAGTTGTGGGGCTGAAAGTCACTGTAAAATAAAGGAAATAGTATTGCCTAATTGTGTTCTCTATTTCTTCCATCAAAAATTCATGCACACATTCAAACTATGAGCATAACTACAGGAGCTGGCAGTGGAGGGGCAGCTGAAAGCAGTATCAAGGGCATCAGTCGTCCTTCAGGCTCCAGCTCATGGCGCTGATCTGGAAACAGAGTTTTTTTTTTTTTTTTTTGGAGAGGTTTTTGCTATAGGGCACGTGCGCTCACCAGACAGAGAGACAGAAAGCGCAGAAAGTGAGAAATCACCCCCTAGGGGGGATGGCCACGCTGCAATCCCTTCTCCTCCACTCTCCTCCAGCGATTTTGG